GTTCTAACAATGGACAGAAACGAAGACCTCTTTTCGCACACTTTGAACACAGAATTGGCGGAAATCGCGGCAATCGTCAGGAATTTAGCGATTATTCCGCGCGAGAAACGCCTCGAGTGTCTGCAGGGATTAAGAAAGGCGCTGAAGAGATCCCAGAATGCGATTCCCTTCCAGATCCAGAACGAGTTCTTTCTGCTCCTCGCCTTCCTGCTGGACGACGCGTCTTCACGACCGCCGGTCACGTGCGAGTGTCTCTGGCTGTGCGTTGACGTCATTCCCTTCCAGCCGAACCTCGACTCCAACTTCGCGCCCATTCTGCCCAAAATCGTCGCCTTTCTCGGTATAACGCTTCCTATATTCATATACCTCTGACCACTTCCTGTTTAGGCCACGACTCGCCGGACGTGCGGCGGGCGGCGTTGCGCGCCCTCCACGTGCACATGCGCTACACACTGAACCTGCAGAAGTGCGTCAACACGTTCGTCGCGTTCGGTTTGCAGAACGCTTCGCTCGACGTCCGCCGCGGCGCTGTCGTCGCGCTCCCGCTTCTCTTCACCGAAGAGTTCTCCAACGAGAACCTCTTCCCATTGGTCGACGCGTTGGGCCGCCTTCTCGTCCAATCGGACGCCGCGCTCTTCTACCCCGTGTTCCTCGCGCTCCAACGCCTGCACTCCGTTCTCGGCAATCAGACTTTCGGCGCCTATTTGGACAGAATGTCGGCCGAGACGCAGGAGCTCTACTCGTCGGTGCTCTCGCGCAACCCCTCCGCCGACGGCAACACCCGCAGAGGTGAGAGCGCTGTCACGTGTTCTACTGTTTAATGTTCTCATTATAGACGACTCGCTGCTCGAGAGCTCCAAAACGGTCACTTTCCAGACGTCACGTGACCGCGACTTGTCGCCCGAGTTCCCCTTCCGCCTCAAGTACGGCTTCTTCGCGCCCAAAGTGATCCAAAAGGCGCAGAGCTCGCGCACAGACGACAAACTCGACTCAATTCAAGCGGTTTTGGCACAAGTGCGCGACTCTTCCCATTTATCCCAATTGTTGCCGGAAATGCGCGACTTTCTCACGGAATTCCTCGCGCAACAACTCAACGAACAGAACAACTTCAAGGTCACGCTCTCCGCCCTCGACGTCATCGAGACGCTCGTCGAACGACTGAAGGGCGCGCTAACAATCAATCTCGACGTTCTGGTCGCCATCCTCGCCAAACGCCTCGGTAGTCATGGCAACCACACAATAATTATCTGACCCCTTGCTCTCCCCGCAGGCGACTCGCGCACAGTGATCCGCGACTCCGTGATCCGCGTGCTGCACGCGGCCATGATGCACGCGTTCCCGCCGCAGCAGCTCCTGGATCTCCTTCTGCTCCACAAACCGTCGAAGAACCCGAAAGTGCGCGAAGAGGTGGTCAACAGGGTGACGGCGGCCGTCCTGACGTTCCCGCGCTCAGAGTTCAACCTGGCCAAACTGTGCTTCTCTGTGGCGCCACTTCTCACCGACAGCCGGCGCTGCGTGCGTTTGGCCTCTTTGGAGTGTTTGGCTGTTCTCGCGCAGGCTTTGGGCCCCAACCGCTTGGCGTCGCTGATGGCTGCCGTGGAGGCGATCGAGCAGAACGTGGCGATCGACGGTCTGGTCAACGCTCTGCACGCGCGCCTCGCCAGACGACAACTGCCGCGCTGTGGCGCCGACGGCACCGTTCGCTACGTCCTCAACCCGCAGCACTTCTCCGGATGGTTCACGTCGGGCGCAGACGCAGACCTCGAGTGGGTGATGCTGGCCACGCCCTCCTCCACGGGCGGCACGCCCCCCAAGAGGGCGAACGGGAGTTCCGGCATTCCTTTGGCGGCGATTCCGTTCGACAGACGGAAGAGCAACGCTTTGAACGCCGAGATGGAGAGCGAGGCGACGGACGACGACGCGGCCATCGTGGAGGCCATCGGGCGGCGGAAGTCGTTGGCGGAAGTGAACATCGAACAGCTGTTGTCGTCCGGCGTCGAGTCCTCAGCCAATGAGCGCGCGTTCGTCGACTTCAGGGGAGAATCCTTCCAATCGGACGAGAATTGCGAGCATTTGGAGCGCGCGAACGAAACAGAGAGTAATTGAGATGAGAATGAAATTCAAATGTTTGAATGCCGTCTTCCCATAGGCTTAGAGCAATGGCGCGAATATTTCAGCGAATTCAGAGCACAGTTGGCGGAAGTGGCGATCTTTGGGCGAAACGAGAGTAAAAGTCAACGACTTTTGAACGACTTTCGAGCGAACGAACGAATTATTGAGAGATCGTGACTGAGTTTCTGATAATTCCGAGTTTGCATCATTGGTCGTCATGACAACCCATCGATCTCTTTGACCCTTTTTTCTCTCCATAGAAAAGCGCAGAAACTCCGAACTTCCGGTTCAACCGCTGTTCGCACAAGAAGTGGACGGATTCCGCGCCGAATCTCCCGTCCAGTCGTCGTCGGCGCCGTCGACCGCGTCCAACGACGCGCCCTTCTTCGCGCCCGACGTCACGACTCTGATCGAGGTTTGCATTCCCGATTGGTTCATTGATAATCACGTGATCTCTTGCAGAATCGCTTCGAACCAATCGAAAGATCGCTTTCTTTGCCTTCGATTCAAAACGAGATTCAAATCGAAGAACAAAAAGAAGAGGAAAACAATGAGTGAGACAATGAGTGCGCGCACTTAACACTAACACTAATTACTATTCTGAAGTCCGCCCCAAGAGGAGGAGCGCGAGGCGAACGGCGACCCAATGAGCGTCAGCTACACGCCGAAGCCGCCCTTCAACACGCCCATCGCCCCGGAGACGCCGCCCCCTGAGCCGGAAGCGGAGGCCACACTTGTAGAGCCGCCGCTACTGAGCGTGCAATTGGCGACTCCGCAACACTCGCGCACAGAGTCGCGATCACGTGACGCGTCAGTGGAACGACTGGAGGTTTGGAACGAAAGAAAAGCGGAAGAAAACGAAACGAAGAGAAAACAGACAAAAAGAACGGAAATCCCGAGAAGAAAGCGCGCGCAACCCGTCGGCCGTCTCTCGCGCTCCCAATCCCCTCGGCGTCGCCCCTCCCGGCCGGCGCAGCACCTGTACATCAAGACCACGCCCGCCATTCCCGCCAACGCCAACATCAGACTCATTCTGGCGAATGTGGCGCGCAATGAGGGGCCGTTCGAGAATCCCGCGGAGGCCGCCAGGGCGGCGCTGCTCGCGCTGCACGACGACGCCTGGTGAGCGCGTGACATGTTATCCTCCGCTAACCCCTTGTTCCTTGCGCAGGACGACCAAGGTGGAGGGCATGCTGGCCGTGACGCGCCTGGCCACGTTCCACGCGCCTGCGCTCCTCAAGGACCAGCACGCGCTGATCGCGGCCATCGTGGCGGAAGTGCGGAACCTGCGCTCCACAGTGGCGCGCGCCGCCATCTTCGCGTTGGGAGAACTGTTCGCGCGGTTGGGCGCGCAGGCGGAGCCCGAGATGGACGCCATGTTGGCCGCGCTGTTGGCCAAGAGCCAGGAGACCGCCGTGTTCATCCGCGAAGACGTCGAGCGCGCGATCCTTCAGGCGGTCGTGCATTTGCCGCAAACCCGAACCGCCATCGCGCTCATCAACGGCGGCGCCAAGTAAGTGCTGACCAGTAGGTGACCACCACTGACCGCTGACCCCTCGCCCGCAGCCACAGGAACGCGTCGGTGCGCCGGACGTGCGCGCAGTTCGTGTCGCAGCTGGTGGAGCGGATGGGCGCGCAGAAGTGTCTGTTGGGCCCGCGCGACATCGCGGACCACGTGCTGCCGGCCGGCGCGCGCTTCGTGCAGGACTCGTCGCCGCACACGCGCTACTTCGGCAGGAAGATGTTCGCTGTGCTGATGGCGCACGTGTCGTTCGAGAAGCTGCTGCGCAAACACGTGACTCCCGGCACTTACCGCAACATCGTCGGCATCCTCGAGTCCGTCAAGCGCCGGGTGAGTGCCTGAGCCAACAATGCCGTTCTCACGCTCTCTCTCTATGTTCAGGGCATTGGCGACAAACCGCAGGATTTGTCGGAAAAGGAGTTTCAATAAAAGCAAACATTTGTCTCGAATTCGTTCTTTATTTCCAAACTTTTACAATTATTTATCGTTTCGAAGATATTTCTCGAATTGAGTTGACATTAGAAACAGGGTTTCATTCAAACGGCAATTCAAGACATAATTATTCGAAGGAAAGTGCAGTTCTAATGTCTGGACGAATGTTTTGGGGTTTAATCCGATTACAGCTCAAGTCTACAGTTTAAGTGTTTGGGAAAGTTGCTCATGGTCAATGGTTTGGCAATCTTTGAACGTTGAATGCTTTTGGCCAATATTTGAACAGAATTTCAAAGTTTTGCAGAATTCGCGAAAAAGTGTCGAAAAATGCTTTATTTCTCAATAAATGTTCTGTTTTTGACTCCAATTGCTGTCAAATTGCGACAATAATTGCATGTTTTGTTGATTCAATATTTGCGTTCATTTCAGGCAACAAACGACGATTAATGCAAATATATTACTCTTTATCAGCAAAACTATTCCATAGCGATGTTACGCAACGTTTCGCACTTTGGATCCGCGTTTCAACAATAATCACGATCGCAATAAACATGCAATTCTTCGCATCCTTTGCGACAAGTATTGACTCAAACGTAAACCAGTGTCGCCACAAATATCGCCACAAATCCGGCATTTCCTGCAAAATGGGATAATTTCCTGGATTTACTGCAAAATGCTGACATTTGTATTGAATTTTGTTGAACTGTTTTAAACCATTTTCAGTTACACGTGATCACCAACGTCATGCACTTTTATAAATCTCATTAAAACACATTCAAACTTAAACTTAATGCAATTTGCACCATTTTCACAGTTATAAAGAATTGCACTCCTGTGCAAACTGGTCCCGCATAATCCAGGACGTTCCCGGGCGTGTGGCAACGCTGGCATCAACACAAACTCCAATAATTCCTTTCAATCGCTTTCTAAACATTCCTCAAAACTTTTCATCCGTTTTAAAATGCGTTCAAAAGTAATAATATTTCCGCCATTTGGCCGCAAATCGCGTTCCGATGACTAATTGTTGCGCATTTGCGACGAAATCCAATGAATCATTGTTTTGTTAACAAAAGTTTATTCTTATCGCAAAACCTTTATATAACTCTTTGTGGGCGTCTCTATAGGAGAGCGCGCCCAACAACGCAAACAAGTGGAAAAGTGCGTTCAAAAATCCAATGAATCATTGTTTTGTTAACAAAAGTTTATTCTTATCGCAAAACCTTTATATAACTCTTTGTGGGCGTCTCTATAGGAGAGCGCGCCCAACAACGCAAACAAGTGGAAAAGTGCGTTCAACACAACAAAACACTGCATTTGGAATTTCCAATTCACAACATTCAGTATTCGCACAACAGGACAACAAAACAACAATCATGGGCATCTCGTGCGGCGCCACTCTCATCAAGTACCTGCTCTTCCTCTTCAACGTCATTTGGCTCGTGAGTAGCGATCATAACAATGTCGTCGTGTTAACGCTTTTTATTGTGGCAGCTGTTGGGCGGAGTCATTCTGTGGCTCGGCTTCAAGATCGCGCTGTGGGGCGGCGACTTGAAGGAGATCTGGAGCTCCAACCTCCAGACCGGCGCCATCGTCGTCCTGGCCGCCGGCTTCCTCATCTTCATCCTGGCCTTCCTCGGCTGCTGCGGCGCCATCAAGCAGAACTCCTGCATGCTCACCACCGTGAGTCAATGAGTGTCACGTGACGCGTAGTATTAACTGCCTCTCTTCTAGTACGGCGCGCTGATCCTCGTTCTGGTGATCCTGCAGTGCGTCGGCGCGTATTTCGCGTTCGCCAACAAGGGAAAGGTCAGTAATGCTAATCTTAATCCCAATCCATCACTAATCCCCTCTCATTTAGTTGGAGGGCGAGTTCACGAAGGCGTTGACCGACCAGTTCCACAAGTGGAACGGCAGTCAGCTGTTCCTGCACGTCGCGAGGTAGGTTAACCACGTCGTCTGCAAGGTCACGACGCCGTAGTGGCTGATGCGCGTGCTCATGCCGCGCCTGCACGGGAGGTCGACAACGCTGCGGATGTGCTTCCTGCTGCCGAACGGCAAGTGCAAAGTGGGCGAAGAGGTGAAGTACAAGACGGGCTGCAAAGACAAAGTGGTGCACGACATCAACACCTACCTGAACGGCTTGGGCGCCGTCGCCATCGGTCTCGTTCTCATTCAGCTCCTCATTATCGTCAGCGCCTGTTGTTTGGCGCGTGAAGTGCGCTGAAAACCAAAACTGCTGTCAAATCGTGTCAAAAAGTGTTCTAAATCTGTTCAAAAATCTGTTTCCAAAAAATAAATTCTATGTTTTCTAAAACCTATAAATAGCGCACTTTTTGTTATAAGCTCAGTTTGTACGTAAAGAAAGCAGAGAAAAACCAGCGAAAAGAGCGCGAAGAGCAGAGACTTCAGTTAAGCCGGTTGTTACCATTGTTACGCCGCCTCTAGCGCGTCTTCTAATTGTGTGATACTTTTCAGAACACAAGAAGGAAAAGAATCGCAAAAAACGGTTCCGAAAACGGCCTCCGCTCGCGCCCTCCCGACCCCTCAACGCCAATCCCTTCGACCCGAGAGACAACTCATCGCAAAACCCGTTTTCCGTCTTCGAGAACCTCTTCTCACAACCGATGCAAATGTTTGGTCCGATTTTGTCGCAGATTTTGGGATCTTTTGGACAACAATTGAATTCAGGTTTTTTCCGTTAGAAAAGAAACTCTTTTCGAATTCCTTTCTTTCAGACAACGACTCAAACGCCACTTCTCTCGCGCTCAACAGTCCCTTCAATAACAGCCAATCGGCGATGACTTCCGTGTCTTCGGCGACAGACTGCAGTGCTGGACAGCAATGCCTGCTGCTGCTGCTGCTGCTTGCGTTTGCGTTTCGCTTTCTTGCGTTTGTAGCCCTTTTGTCAAGGGCTTTTCACAATAAAGCATTGTTTACTAATCTTTAGCAGAGAAAGAAAGGACTCATGAAAGAAGTCTTTTATTCATCGCTTTTTCGATAATTTTCTGCAAATCTTTGATTATTTTTGAGTCCAAAGACTGAAATCGAAAGATTTTTCGCAACAATAAAAACTCGTTATTTATTCGCTAATTGTTTGCGCAAACAAAACCTCTTTCCGAACGAAAGCCAAACACAGCGCAAACAACAGACGCCTCCCACGCCTCCCCACCCCCGCTCACGCCTCCCATTATGGCGCAAACCCCCGCCAATAAAGACGCCCGAATACCTTACTTCTCCTGTAGATGACGTGACGGCGAGTGACGTCATGAGTGTGTCTCACATGACATGTGTTTATAAAACGCCGCTCTTTTCGTATGTTTGGCGTCTCGCGAGCCAACAATGGATTCTCTTTCTCCCAACTATTCCTTCGTGTTTCGCTTCGAACGCGACTTCGATTACAAACCGCGCGCGCAATGGATGGCAACCAATTGGACGCAAGCTTTCTACTGGAGCGCCGCCTATCTCGCCGTCGTCTTCGGCGGACAACACCTCATGTCCCGCCGCAAGCCCTTCGGCCTCAGGACGGCGCTCGTCGTCTGGAACCTCTGTCTCGCGCTCTTCTCCGTCGCCGGCACTCTCAGGTACTCCCTCTGCATTCCCGTTCCCCCCGTTCTAACCCCGTTCCCGCAGAACCGTTCCCGAACTGGTGCACGTGGTGCGGCACCTGGGCTTCGAGCGCTCCGTGTGCTCGAACTCGTTCCACACGTCGGTTCCCGTCGCCTCCTTCTGGTCGTGGCTCTTCATCCTCTCCAAAGCGCCCGAATTGGGTGAGCGCTCTCCAACACCACTGCCATTGCTAACTCCGCTCTCGCCCCACAGGTGACACTGTGTTCGTGGTGCTGCGCAAACAGCGCCTCCTGTTCCTGCACTACTACCATCACGTGACTGTCCTGCTCTTCACGTGGTACTCGTACGCGGACGAGGCCTCCGCCGGCCGCTGGTACATCGACATGAACTACTCGGTGCACGCGCTCATGTACTCCTATTACGCGCTGCGGGCGCTCGGCTTCCGCGTGCACCGCGCCGTCGCCATGACCATCACCAGCGCACAAATCGCACAAATGCTCGTCGGCAGTAAGCGCCGTAACCATAGCAACCATAACACTATTAACACTCTCTCTATTGCAGCCTACGTGACGGCGTACGCGCTGCGGGCGAAGCTGGCGGACGCCGAGTGCCGCATCTCGCTGTCGACAATAGTGGCCGGTCTCGCGATGTATTTCTCGTATTTCTTACTTTTCGCCAACTTTTTCATCAAAACGTATTTCAAGAAAAGCTGCGGGCGAAGCTGGCGGACGCCGAGTGCCGCATCTCGCTGTCGACAATAGTGGCCGGTCTCGCGATGTATTTCTCGTATTTCTTACTTTTCGCCAACTTTTTCATCAAAACGTATTTCAAGAAACGAAAAACGAATTAAAGTTTTGTTGTTTTTATTGTCAATAAATATTTCATTGCGGAATGATCTCGATGGAGGCGTGGCTTAGTTCCGACTGCAGCAGCTCGTTCAGGAACGTCAGGTCCATGTAGCGCACGTCGCGCGCCTCCTCGCCCTCGCCCTCCACGTCCGCGTCGTCCGCGTTGTCGTCTCTGTGGAACGGAACGAAGCACTCGCCGCTGTCCTCCACCAGCACTTCCACCTTCCACTCCACGCGCAGCGCCTTCTGGTCGCACTTCTTCAGCATTTCGCAACACAAGCGGTTGCTGTGGGCGTCGCCCGTCGACACCGACAACCACGTGAGCGGCAGCGCGCCAATCACGGCGCAGATCCGGTCCAGCACTTGCACGCCTACAGAACACATTGTATTAGTATTGAGTCGATTATGCATTTATGGCTCACCCGACGCCTCGACGCGCAGATTGTCGATTGTCAGCGATTCGAGATTCGACAGCAATTCCAGTGTTTTCGGCAAAGAAGTCGACAAATCGTCGATCGAAATGTCGACCAATCGCAGAGTGCGCAGCGTTTGCAGTTCCGACAGATAGAGGAACGCCCCCTTCAGGCCGTCCTCCGGTTGCGCGTTGTCCTCTACGGTGACGTCGTCGTCGGTGTGGAACCATTGTTGACACGAACCGATTTCCAGACTTTCGATTCCATTCAGCGATCGGAGAAACACGAAATCACGTGACGAGAAGTCTGCGCGAGATTCAAATGAGTTCACAATTAGTTGATTAATTACAATGACTGACCCTTGAGTGACGTCATGACCAGCGACTGGAGCGCCATCTCCGCGAACACGTTGGACAGGAGCTGCACGGAGTCGGCGTCGCCGCTGAAGCCGTTCTTGGAGTTGACGTGCAAGTGCTTCAGCGCTTTGAGGGTCTGGAAGTCGGAGAGGAAGTGCAGAGAGCACTGTTTGCCTTCCGACTCCTCTTCGAAGCAGTGGCGCACAGACAGCGTCTCCAAGTGCGCGAACGAGTTGTAGGGGTTGTCTGTGACGGCCGCGTTCACCACCTCCTCCAACACGAACGTCGGGATGGCGCCGAAGCGCAGCGTCCGCACGCTCTTGATGTAGTCGACGATTGTGGAGAAGTTGCGCCAAAAGTCGCACAAATCGGTGCCGCTCTTCACGGCGTCGAAGTCCAGCTCCAGACTCGCGTTCACTTCCACTATGTTTCGCGCCAAAAACAGCCAATCGTTGACCGGAATGCCTTTCAGGCGAACGCAGCGCCACAGGAAGGGCTGCGACGACAGGTGCAACCAATCGCGCGACACGTGACGCAAACGCACCAAATCGGCGACAGTCAGGTACGACAGCACGTGGTTGAGACACGCGTACGGCGTCACGAGTGACGTCACTGTGGAGCGCCTTTTATTCATCCAATCGCGATATCCGCGCTTCTTCCTGTCTTTCACCGCCGGCTCGAGGAAGCGGCGCAACTGGCGCTCGAGCTCCTGTGGCGTGTGCTTCATAGGTCCGATCGGAGCGATGGGCGCCGGCTTGTAATGCGGAAGGGATGAGAGTTGCGGCGCGCGCTTCGGGTTGCCGTTCGGGCGCTGCGCCGGCGCGGTGGCCACTTTGGGTTTGATGGACTTGTCCTTGACGATCATGGAGTGGCCGTTGGGGCCGGTGGCCACGCGGTACAGGTGCGTCCCGATCGGCAGCTTCACGTTCATGGCGGCGCTCTTGTTGAAGGCTGGAGAGAGAGAGAGAAGGGGTTAATTGGGTTCAAGGCAAACAACGTCTTCTTACGCGCGAGAGGAGTGGACGCCGAGAACTGCTGTCTCTTGTGTTTCACGGTTTGCTGAAAGATGTGTTGATTCTGAAGATTCGGCGGTTTGGGCAGAATGGGCGCGAAAGTGGAGCGCGACTTGATTGGGATGTGATTGGGCGCCGAGTTCTGGACGAAGAGTTGTGTTTTGGGGATCAGAAGCGACTCCGAGTTGTCCGAAGAGAAACCGTTGGTTTTGGCGTTCGAACGGTTCGTGTCTTCGGGTTTCAAACAGTTCTAAACACGGAAAGAGAGAATTAGAGAGAAAACAGAGACAACAATGGACAACTCACGGGACACACGAAGACTCGCGGCTCTTCCAGGAACACGCCTTTGGGAACGCAATCCAAATGATACAAACAGAAACAGCGCGAACACATCAGGTTCGGCAGCATTCCGCGCCGGCCGGGGCAGTGCATCGAACAGGGGGCGCCACTCGTCGTCGACGCGCTGTTGTCCACCACTTCCGCTGTCGTCTTCTCCTCCTCCACTTTTGGCTCTTTTTCGTCCACTTTTTCCGCGATTTCCGGCTTTTCTTCCGTCGGTTTCGAATCCGGAATTTCGACATTCGTTTTGGCGTTTATTTCCGGACTTTTTTCTTCGCTTTTTTCGGCAATTATTTCCGGTTTTTCCACTTTTTCCGACTTCTCCACAGTTTCCACGTTCTCTCCGTTAGGCGGCGTCACTGTCGGCTTTTCCGGCGCTTTGTTCGCCGTCTCGAGCGCCGCCTTCTTCATGGTCTGCTCGTGAACTTGTTGTAGAAGTTGGTGTTGCAGTTGTCGTCGCTTTTCCTGAAGAGACAATTGCGGTTTCGGACCAATCGTCGGCTTTTGGGTCGAGTTTGAACTTTTGGAACTCGACACCGGATTGGCTGTGGGAACGCCGTTCGAGCCAATGGAAGGCCGTTCCCCTCTCTGGCCCTTCTTCTTCAGCGGCGACTCCGAGTAGTCTTCGTCTTCGAAGCGCGTCGGCGCCACGCGCTTCCTCTTCGCTCTTCCCTCCGCTATCGACATCGAGAACTGCTCTTCCGATTCGCTGGCCGTCGAGTTGCGCGCCGAACGACTGGCAGAGGGCGACACTAGCGCCGCCTCGTCCACAACGGGCGCCGGCGTGAAGGGCGCCGAGTCGATGATGTGGGAGGCCGTCAGAGTGTGCGTTCCGCCGCCCCTTTGCATGGCGTGGCGCACGATCTCCTGCGGCGGGCGATAAATGGGTTGTCGCGCGAACGTGAAGTTCTCGGGCGCCAACCCCGAGCTGGCCTTCTTCAGGAACAATCCCATCTCCACATAAGAGCGCAGTTTCGTCTTCTTGTCGGGCGAGAAGTAGTAGACGTCGCCGATCTTCTTGCCACTGCTCGTCACCGTTCCCCTCAACACCACCTCTCGCCTCCATCCCAACTCGAACGGCCGTCTGAAGTGCGACAACTCGTCCGCCGAGAAGCTCTTCACCTGCAAACACAAAACAGCGTTAGAAAGCACTCAACCACTGGCGCCCCCTGTCGTACGCGCAGTCCAGTGAAGGCCGACCACTGGTACACTTGGTTTTCGCCCACTTTGCCGTCGGCGGCGTTCGCGTCGATCAACAGCTCGTTCTCCGAGTTCTCCTCCTCTTCGCGTTCGCCGATCTCTTCGTCCTCGAAGTCAATGCCGTTCTCTGCGCTCAACACCACCTCTTCTTCGACGTCCTCGTCGTCGATCATCACCTCTTCGGCGATCTCCTGGAACTGCTCTTCGATGAGACAGCCAATCATGTCGTCTTCGATCACCTGTTCTTCGACCTCGAGTTCGATCTCTTCACTCATTTTCATGCATTCAATGAGCGCTCAAAACAACAGACAATGAAATGTTGCCAAAAATGGCTGACAAATGACTGATTCGCTGAACAGCCAATCAGCGCTTCAGTGCGGCTCTCACTCAGTGGCAGCCAATCAGCGATCGCCTAAACGCTCACAACTCTCACAGCACTCACAACTCAGGCATTGGTCGCCGCAATTGATTCACACGTCTTCACACTTCCCAAGCATTGCGTCACACAATCACTGGTCGCGAGACAACACCTCTGAGCGGCCATTCAGTGACCAAAACCCGAAACACATGTCCACTTCTATTGTCACACACTTTCGTCACACACTTTGCGAACAGCCCTTCCTTTCCGTTCCCTTCCGACGCTTCCAAACGCCACAATCGCCGTCTCGTCAATCACTTCACGTCTTGAGTGCGCGTCTGAAACACAACTCATCCCAAACCGCGGCCTCAGAGCCCGACCCGTGACCACAACGGGTGTCGAGCCGTCTCTCCCCACCCCTCTTAAAGTAACGCCATTTCCTGATCGCATGTTTTGAACAATTTTTCCAATAAATCAATGATTCGTTCAGAAATAACGTCTTTTTATTCCACTTTTTGTTTCATTTATTCAAAAAGTTTTGAATTTATTTCGGATTTGAATTAAATTTTTCGCAAAAAAATGAACAAAAAATTGAATTCTGAATGAAATGCGAAAAAATTGTCGAAAAGTTTGCGAAAGAAAAGGAGAAAAACGCGAATTTCGTGACAAAAAGTCGTTAAAAGCGTAAACAAAACAAAACTTAAATCTCCTTTAGTTACGATCCAAACGCAAAACAAAACATTTCTTCAAAAGAAAAATGCATTAAATTTACACTAAAATAGAAAAAACATTATTCTGTCGAAAGATGAGTGAAATTGTGGCCAAAGAAGAGGAGGAGAGTTGGGTTCTGGACTCTTTGGTGGGCTTCTTGAGAGGTCCCGTTTGGAACCTCACCATTCAGTCGTTCATTGAGAACAAGTCCGTCGGTAAGTCTTCTTCTGTGCTGTTCTGTGAATTGAAAGCCGATTCTGTTTGCGAAGTGTTCGAAGACAACGCTCCGGAAGAATGCGTTCGCGAATATGACGTCATATTCCAGGACTACAAGCGATTGGTCGACAGATTATTGTCTTCTTATTCTTCGGATTTAGGGATCTCTTCGCAAGAATTCGATTCGGCGCTAAATCGCGGGCTTTTGTCCTCAAAATTACGACAAATGCTTTTCGAACAGATCTTCGCTTCGAATGATTTCACGATTTTCGTCCGTTTTATGACTCAAAGGAATATTGAATTGCAATTACAAGCGATAGAAGTTTTGGCGCAAAAATTCGGTTTAGTTTTCGATTCTTTCGTTCCTTTCGGACAAAACAAAGAAGACTTTCTGAACGAAGACAAGGTTTTCAAAGAAGCCATTCGGCGCTCTCTCGAAGAAGACAACGACGGGGAGGGAATGGCGGACCGGAAGTCGCTGTCGGAACAGAAACAGCGTTTGGAAGCCGAACGCGAAATACAACAGCAGAAACTGTCGGAAGCCATCCAAACGGCAATCACCGAAGAGGAGGACAGGGAGGAGAAGGAGGAGACTGTGGGCGTGGAGGAGGCGGAGGTGGAGCGGCCGGAAGTGCTGATTCGCGAAGAGTTAAAGAGCGAGGGATTAGTGAGAGAAGAGTCGGGATTAAATGGCGACGAAATGCGCAAAAGAAGCGAATATTTGCGAAAACAAAGGGACAAACTTTTGGCGCATAAAAAGCAAGAAAGAGAGAAACAAATGCTGAAAATCGAGGGCCAGGAGGAACGGGCGCTCAGACCGAAGTCCGCGCGCGTCGTCCGAGCCGTGGCGTCGGGCGAAGACGTGGACGCGAGCGAAGACCAGTCGCTGGCGTTTCGGCGATCGCTGGCCGCGAGACTCAAGAAAGAAGTGATCGGTTTGTGTTTTCTTTGGTTTGAGTTTGAATTCATTTTTCGTTTCTTCTTTCAGAACAACAAAAACATTGAAAAACGAGAAATAGTTTCGAAAAGAAAGGAAAAGTTTTTTCAGATTTGTTTTCGACTTTTGTTTTGTATTTTGTTTCAAATATTATTAATTTGTGACAAAAACCAAAACATGAGTAAATTTGGCGAATAAACAGAACTTTTGTCAGAAATTCTTCGAAATTGAGTTTAAATTCTAGAATTTCTTGAATTCCAAGAACTTGCTGTCGATTGTTAGGATCACGCGTTGGACGCCGTGTGGATCGGTGTTGGCGTGGATCTCGAGACGACAGTCGATGGCAGACATGATTCCGTTTCCGCACATTTCGTGAACCAAAGCCTTCAGAGACGGCGAATACACGCGAAGCAATTCGTGAAGTCTCGCTTCAAACGGATCCAAAGGGTCGCCACTTTGACCTCTCGTTTCCGGAATCTCTTGCATCGCATTCAACACTCTGTCGTCCGAAATGTGGAGCAATTGGAGAGCGCGAGCGGCCGTCGCGGCGTCGAAGGGCTGTTCGCCGAAAATGGCGGCCGTCAACCAGATCTGCAAAATGAATGCAATTCAATGTTTACACGCGTTGTCAATGTTTTTACTGGATTTTGGTCCAATTTCGCGGCCATTTCCCCGAACGTGAATCTCCGTTCCTTCTTTGCGGTCAAAAGAATGCTTTTTGCCTCACTTTTGGACAAATGTTTCGCGATTTCGACATTTGTTTTGAAACCGCGCGAAAAGAGCGGAAAAAACAGTTTTTTGGAAAACATTTCTAAAAATAGATTTTATTTCTAAACGTATTTTTTCTTCAACACAAAGAACGAGAGAATAAAGAAGTCGGAAATCGCGATCAAAGAGATGCCGGTGTACATCGACACCACGCCTCCCACGTAGCAGATCTGTAAGAGAGGGAGAATGAATGGTGTGTGGAATCACGTGCGCACAAACCATGTCCAGGATCGCGAAGAGCGGCGAGTATTTGTGGATCGTGTGCTCCGTTGTCCAGTAGCGGATCGACACCACTGATGACCGGTTCCTTTTCGCCTCATTCCCCGAATCCCAGCCCTAATCGAGAGAGACAGAGAGTGAGAGAGTGGATGGGAAACACTGGCACACCTTCTTGCCGTAGTACTCGAACGGGAGTTTCTGGACACTGAGCTCGTAGTGGTCCTGCCAACACGATGGCTGACAGCGCATCGAACACTGCATGCGCTTCGCTTTGTCCCAACACATGCCGTAATAGTTGGGCGCTAAGGAACACACATTGTCAGAGCGCGCGACACACAGCACAGCACTAACCGTCTTGGAAGCGCCACATACACCACGAGAGCGAGCGGTTAACGTCGAGACCGTTGTTGCGAATGTACGGCAGTTCCGGCGGCCAACAGAAGCACTGCGCGATCGTGTACTTCGAAGTGCAGCCGGAGATGCATTGCTATGGAAACGGACTCTAAGTTTAGAAAAGACTTTTTGCTTCTAACCTTTCGCGACAACGGAATCGAGAAGTCTTGCGTCGCGTTCACTCTGCGGCCCTCCGATTGGACGTAATCGAAGCAATTGGTGGCGTACGGCGTCTTCAGCATCCGCGTCGACTGTCTCTTGATGTAGAACTGGTAGTAGAAGCCCGGCTCCAGGTTGTAGCTGTTGGAGAGCGAGTTGCCCACTTCGGTGTTGTCGTGGATGGAGATGCGACCACTGATGGGCAGTTTCCAAGACGTGTACTCTTTGGGCTCGAAATCCAGTTCGAAGCGAATTATTTCGTTGGTGTCGAACNCCACTTCGGTGTTGTCGTGGATGGAGATGCGACCACTGATGGGCAGTTTCCAAGACGTGTACTCTTTGGGCTCGAAATCCAGTTCGAAGCGAATTATTTCGTTGGTGTCGAACGAGACCTCGGATTTCGCTGAAAGAGAAGTCGTTTATTATTTGAGCGTTAAATACACGAGACTGACAGCAAGTGCCGAGAAGGCGGCAATTGTCGGGGCGTTTCTCAATTCTGGCCATTTGGTGGAAATACGTGAAACAAATGCCGTCTTTCTGGAGAGAAGTGATGACCGCTTTGTCGGTGCACTTGATTTTGCGCGTTGTCTTGTCTTCGGGATCGTATTGAGTGTCGCACTCCATCTTCTTCACGAAGTCCGTCAATTCGGGCGCGAAGTCCAACACTTTGTTTAAAGTCGTGTTTTGGATCCAGTGCTTCGTGTAGTTTTCCACGGCTTCTCTCTGTTTTGGACAATGGTTTGAGTTTACGCGACAATTGCTGTCATTCTCACCGAATCTCCCAATTGTTGCTTCAAATCCTCTTCGAATAAATTCGTCTTTCGAACGCTGAAAGAGAGAAAAGTTTGAAAAAGCAATTCCAAGGTTTCACTCTTCGGACACATTGTTGTTGCAGAGCGTGACGGCCGGGAACTGCAGCAGTTTCATCTCATCCACCACTACATTGACGTCCATCGGGAACGACGAGTACTTCTTGAAGATGTCTATCGTCTGGAATAAAGCCATTCCCACGCAAAACAGTATGAACACCGTTTTCAACACATTGCGCGGCGTTAGCGACGACTTGCGACCGATTGTCGAGCGTTTGGCCGACGCTTTCGACTCATTGCTGAACACAATGATTGGCGTCAAGTTTTGAGAGGCTTTCTTCGGCTCGAAGCCGGAGTTGTTGTATCGGCGGTGATAGTCGTCGTGATAGACGGGGTAATCGCTTATTGTGGGCATCGAAGGCCTCTTTGACGACATTTCCACTCAAATGACTCTTTGGTGGGGAAAACATAACGAGATTTGGATTGCAATTAATTTATGCAAAACACAGAAACCGCTAATAAATGCAACACAAAAACAAAATAATTATATGAATTAGAATTCTGTGCAGAATATTCTGCAACCTCTCCTTAATTGTGGCCTTTTGTGCGATAATACGTGTAATTATGTGTCTCTCTGTCTCTACGTCTATATCTTTTTGTGAAATATAACCTATAATTGAGTTATTTTGCGATGAAATGCATTTAATTTGAAAATCAATTGAATTAACGATTCATTTATCGATTCTAGCGATCAATACATTTGACACTCAATTACGTCAATACGAGACGTGATTTATTGGAGACTTTATTGCTCTCCAAACAAAAAGCCTGAGAAAGCCTTGAGTCATACAAAGGGTTTGGCGATTCCCAAACGCGTTCCCAATATTCCCGACTCAAATATTGGTCGTCTTTGCTCTTCGCGTGACAAGTGTTGACCGCAGAGTCGATCGCAGCAGTGATTGTCGTGCACTCGCGACCCATAATCCAGACTCTGTGTTGAGCGCAACCGCCGCCTGTTGTCCCCCTCCAGCCCCGCACAGGGAAGGTGTGTCTCTCTTAGGGAGTGTCACAACACTCTGTGATACGTAGTGTTGATTTGTTTGCCATTTTGTTGTGACAACGATGTCATCGATTGAGTGATAGTTTTTGGCCACTCTTTGATCCGAACGGCGATCACATGACAGACACGAAGCGAAGAGTGAAGTTGTATGCGCTGAACGCCGACCGCCAATGGGACGACAGAGGGACGGGTCACGTGTCGTCCGCATAT